GGACCCTGGTCACCGAGGACGATAGGTCCGTTGTGTTGGCGCTGCAGCCGCCACCGGAGCTGGACGTGGGCTCGGCCGAGGTGATCGTGGAGTCGCTGTCCCGCGGCGCCCTGCCTGAGGACATCCCCGTGCAGAGACTCTGCTCCAACGAGAACTTCTCCCCAGCGGATGTGATCGAGCAGTCACTGATCATAACGACGACCATTCCTGAGGACTGTGACACATAGCGGGACCTGGAGCACAGCCAAGCGTTGGGCTGGAGCCGCTCTCTGCCACTCTTGTTCTTCCCGAGCTGTGCATCCGCCCCTTCCCCTCCTTCCCTGCAAACCTCCCACCCCAGGCTGCGGGAAGTGACGTTCTAATCGGGTCTCAGATGAAGCCGCTGCAAGTGGCTCCTTAAATAAACGTACAAACACTGTGCGCGGCAGGAGCGATGAGGGCTCTGCATGTGTAATGCTGTGAACTGGTTTCTAATGAGATCTCACTGTGGCCAGAGGGGTGGCTGCTGCTCACCCCTTGCCTTTGAGCTCATGATTAAAGCTTACCTTCCCCAGAGCACGGCTCTGCTCCTTAAACACTTCCCAAAGGATTGTCTCCTCCTTAGCTCTGTGCCTTCTTTCACTTTGGTTGGTTGCACTTCTGTTAACTGCTGCTTCTTTACCACACTGAAGGCGTCTCAGCACCGACACAACTGAGGTGTTGGTGAACTTGAAACGCGTTATCTCAAGGAGCCGGAGCCGGTCAGTGCTCCGAGCTCCCAGTTCAGGGGCAGGGATTTATCTTTGCCTGGAACACCATGCTCCAGGGTCACTGTGACATTGAGAACTGTCCTCCTGCGTGGGGGAAGGTCACTGAACGTACCACAATCACAGCCGCGCTCTCCCTTTCCCGCTCACCAAGGTGGCGGAATATCTCTGGATTAAACACTGGGCCCGGAATGAGAATCCCAGTAAAACCTTACTCCAGCAATCTTCCCTTCGAGGGCAACCGAGAGGTTCATGTAACGTGTTTTATTTAACTTGACTGCTGCAAGTAAATTTAAAAACAAACCATGAGAATAAAAATACATTATCTGTAACGTAGACGCCTTTGTTCCGAAGGACGGTGTTGAAACTGCACTCCAAGATCCGGACACAACAGGTCCTACCAAAAAATAAATACAGATCCGTAACGACTGAGCCTGTTGGGGAAGCGGGGAGGCAGGTCCAGCAGCGAGCGCTGCAGCACGAGGCAGAGTGCCTTCTATTTATAGGCTGGCATAAAGACTTGGGGCTGCGACGCGAGTTCAGCTGCGCAGCCTCTGCCGCGGCTCCGCCCCGGGCCGCGGGGACACGGCCACAAAGGAAGGAGCTGCCCCAAGACCCGACACCCCAGCCCAGAGGGTTTTGATCCAAGAGGCCGCCATGGCACGATCCAGCTTCAAGGCACTGTCGAGGTTCCAGACACGGAGAACAGCTGGGATTCACCAGCGGCATTCCCGGCTCCGCAGCCAAGGAGCGCGGCACGAGGCAGGAAACTGCGTTCAAGGCAAACCAGATACGTTTTAAAGCTGTGAAGCCGCGGATGTTGTGGAGACGGGGCCCTGGCGCTTTCCATCTCCGAGTGAAGTTTAAATGCAAATGTTTTCCCTATTGGTTGAAAGCACAAGAGCGGAACAGCGGCCGCCTCCAGCCCCATCACACCACGGCCTTCCCGAAGGATGAGCCTTGGCCTTTGGCTCTTGGCTTGTTCACAAACATTCCATGAGTAAACTGCACACAGCTTCTCTTCAGCTAAGGTAGATGGAGGAACCCAGCCCAAGCTCGCTACGTCCCTTGGGCAAGGATAAAGGCAAATTTTAGGCTAAAAAAACCAGCAAACCCCAAACAAAAAGAGGGAAAACCCTAAAAACTACCCTAAAGAAACTACTGCTCAATCCACAGCACTCCAGGTACCTCCTGCACCTCTGCTGAGACACCTCGGTGGCATCCTCCAATTGCCCACATCCCGAGAGCTGCAAACTGGAGGCACAACAGGCACGAGGCCTCTTTGAAGGTCCAGTGGGTTCATTCACACAAGGGGATGGGTTTGAAAGTGATTCTGCATCAGGGTATTTAACTGCAGGCCTGTTCCCCACCTCGGCTCCTTTAAGATGGTGAAGAAATCAGAGCTCACCCTCGCTACGCGGAGCTCATCCCAGCACGCTGCAGAGAGCTCGGCACAGGAGAACCAGCAGCAAACAGTGGGTTTTCCTGCCCCAGCACACCGGGAAGGGGGAACGGCTCCTCCCGCAGGCAGCGGCCACCGGCCCCTCGGGCTGGGTAAGAGCGGGACTCGCTTCTCCCCTTCCCCTTAAGGAGGGCGCAGCCGGTGACTGGAAATGAAACAATCACATTGTCAGAACAGGATGAAAAGATAAATAAGGGTGTTTGTTTCTGCGGGGAGGGAAAAAGCGCGTTGCTAGGGAGGGCTGGAAAAGAAAGACCTGCAGGAGCTTGAATGCTCCAACTTAAACCCCACCAAAATACAGGAAGAACTGAAGTTCTGAGGGAAGATGAAGCTTCATAACCCAGCCGCAGCGAGGTCCCTGCCATGGGGAATCCGTTCTTCCCGAAGGAATGAACAGGAATCGAGGACCACGGCCACAGGGGAGGAAACGCCACGTTCTCACACCAACCTCTCACCCTGACAGGCCTCCAGCTCCTCAAGACAAGACCTCTCCCCTCTCTAGCCACGCAGAGGAAGACATGCACAGGGAGCCCATCCTCCTCCGAGGCACAGAACAGAGGTGGGGGCCCAGATCACTGTCCTACCAGACAGACCCCTCCCGGAAAAGAAACTGAAGAGAGAAGTTTGGTGGCAAATGAAGCAGGAGCCCCCAGTGAAAGGAGTCTGACCAAAAGCCGTGAGCGCCGATGCCGTTCAACACGATTGCTTTGCTCGAGTTCAGCTCTCAGGTCAGTGTGGGCAGCCAGTGCCTCCTCCCGCCAGGGGAAGGGCCGAGCAGCACATCAGACAGTCAGAGCTTTCACTCCTCTATGCTCAGTTCGGGTTTGTCTCCCGGCACCGTTTTGCCTCTCAAAGCAACACAGGCTCTGGACGAGGAACCCGCATGGAGCCGCCGTCCTCTGCTAACGCAGCTCGTTCAGGTTCTGGTTGTGAAGGTTCTGGTGCTGCCTGTTCAAGTTGATGGTGTTGTCCAGCGTGATGCCATCATCCTCCTGCGTGGTTTCCGGCATGAACTGCCGGAATATGCTGACGCTGCCGTGCCAGAAGATGGGCTCTGGGAGCCGGCCCACCACGCTCCACGTCCGTGTCTCGGGGTCATAGGCTTCCAGGACATCCGAGAGCTCAAAGGTGTTGTCGTAGCCACCGGAGACGTAGAGCTTCCCGCCGAGCACGGCCACGCTGCCCCCAACGTGGACCTACAGTTAAACACACACACCCCACGGTTACAAGGGGGGTTCTGCCACCCGCGGGATGGTAACGGAGTCGGTGCTGTCCTACCGTGCTGCAGAGCTCAGCACCCACCAGCACTGCTCAGACCCCCCAAGGAGCCGGAGCTTTCAGCTTCACGCCCAGCCACAGTCACCTGTAGGTGACTCTGATGTGCTTTAATGTGCTCCGTGGGGAAGGGGTTGCCACCCAAAGAGCACCTGGTTTTCCCAAGGAAACAAAGCCCGTTTCTAACAGGGGCAGGCACCCAGGATGTTGGCAAATATCCTACCTGAAGCATGGCAGGGATTTTATCCCATTCATTCTTCGCTGGATTGTAAACGTCCACCTCAGCCGAGTCGTCTCTATGGGAGATAACGCAAAATTACTCCTCCATGTTCCAAAACCCTCCTGCCTCGCCAAGCCCCAGTTCAACAGCCTGAAATGCCACCACGAGCAGATCACACTGCTCCAATCCCACTGCAAGTATCAGAGAGCAAAGGGCTCCCATACAAAGGTGCAGGTCTCAGCGCAGATCCCAGCCTCCAGCATGGGCTCCTCTTGCAGGGTCCAAACCACTGCACAATCCCAAGGGCTTTCTCAAGTAGAGTCTTTTTTTACACCTGCATCTATAGTACATCCCAGACTAACTTCCTGCAGGTCAGCACTTCAGGGGCTGATCTGGCTTCGGTGCCAAGTGCTTCAGGCCTGGAAGCAAAGTTACTGCTGCTCTGGAGAGGCTTAAGCTTCCACGTGCTTCCAAGTAACAGCATCCTACTGCTTGGGGTTCCACGCCAAATTTAGGTGGGCTGAGGACGCAAGAGAAGAGCTACTGGGGCAGCGTGATCCCATGAAGGGGGTGGTTTAAAATGGGTAAGAAAAAGGTAAACCCATAGGATCAACTGGTGACAAGTAGCTGGATACCTCAAACACCCCAACCAGGACTCACTGAACACCAGGTGAGTCCAACAAACAACTGCCAGGAACCAAGACATCCAGCTGAACCCAAATGGGTCAAATAAAAGGTCTGGGCTAGAAGTTGCTGCTTTCTGCAAACCAAGAGGAGATTAAAACGAGAGGAATGTGTCTGGAGGCCGTCGCAGAGGTCTCTGTGTGCTCAAAGTCAGCACAACACGATGAAACGCTCCGGCGCTCGCATGCCTTCCCGTTTATTTTTAATTAGGTGGATAACTGAAGCGTTTGCGCCACCAGGACAGCCTCGGACGGGTAATTAAGTCCCAGTTTGGAAAGGCACTTAAAAATAGTGACCAATCATTTCATCTGCAGACTCTTATCTCCGCTGAGAAGGAAGACGTCCTCTCCTGCGCTCAGCTTAACGTTTTCTTGGAGCTTGCTCACTTATTTATAGCAACAAGGGGGGTTGAAGCCAAGAAAACAGAGGAGTCTATTTCCAAGCAGCGCCGCTGACTTCAGCCTGTTCGTACCTGCCTGTTCCCAGCCCCTGGGTCAGAGTTGGATGTTTTTACATGGTTTTAAGCACGGTTCTTTGAGGTCTGTGCACCACGGCAGATGAGGAAGGAGCTGCAGCGGTTCACAGACCCATCAGAGGAAGCACTGCTGTGCCTTCCCAATGCAGCGCGCTCTTACAACCCTTCCCTCCTCTCTTACAACGTGCCTGCCCGGGAGACCCTGGTCCTGCCTCATGGAGAAGGAGGCTCCTGCTCCCACTACTCACCTTATGAAGTACATGAGGCCGTTGAGGGTGACGGTCTTTGGGGCGAAGGACCAGGGGGGCAGATGGCCGCAGTTCACGAGGGTCCAGAGATCGCTGTCGGGGTCGTAGCACTGCATCACCATGGACTCTTTGCCAGCCAGGGAGCCGATGGCAAACAGCTTACCGCGGCACGAGGTGGTGGAGCAGTTGTCCATGGGGTACAGCATGGGCTGCAGGGCCTCCCAGCTATCCAGAGCGTGGTCGTAGCGCTCCGTGCTGTCCGAGGCGATCACGTACAGGAGCCCGTCCAGCACTGTGGAGCTGTGGTATTCCCTGGCCTTCAGCATGGGAGACACCTCCGTCCACTCGTTCACGCTGGAGTTGTACCTCCACACGCAGTCGTACAGCCTGGACCCATCGGATCCCCCTGCGGCACAGCACGGCATGTTTCAGAGCAGGGAAACGCGCTGGGGACTGCAGCAGCGTGAGGCTTTAACTGGGGGTTTGCACTGTTTCCTCCCCAACAAGCCAGGAAGGGTTTCTCCTGTGCTGTCCCTGTGCTCGGCCATGACTCAGAACAGTTCTCCCTGGTTTGACTGCTTCATCCTCCTAAATAACCATCTCCTCTCCCGTTTTGCAACCCCAGCTCCGTCACTGTGACACAGCCGAGGCAGCCCTCACCCGTGCCTGGCTTCCCAACCCTCCCTCCGCCTGTGCTACACCACCAGCACTGACCAGAACAGCCAAATTCCCCCACCAGAAGCAGCCTTGCCAAAGCACCGGGCTCCCGGCAGCATCAGCACTTCTGGGCCTGCCTGGGATCACTCTGGGAAGCTCCCATGGGACATAAGGGCAACCGTACAAACGCTCTGTGCGGCAGCCCATCATTTACACACCTCTGCCCTCAGCAGAGCCTTGTTGTCTGCTCGTGCCCAAAGCACAAACAGTTTTCTATTCGCCTGCATTTGACTCGTCCCTCAAACCTCTGCCAGCGTGTCCTGCACGCCCAGGGCAAGCT